ATACTTAAACTCTTCATTACGTCCGACAACTGTCGCAACTTCGATGCCACATCCCTCCACACACTACTACTTTTACTACGCTGGCATCTCGTTGTACTGATGTGCAAGAACTTGAAACGATGCAGATATACCTCTATGTGACGTATAACTTACTATGTATACATAATTAAGAACTTGATATTTTACTAAGGAGCGAATACATCCAACGAATTATTAATTATTTTTAAAAATAGAAATACCGTCTTAACATTACGAATCGGCTATAGTTAGAGATGAGCACTACTGTATATCACTGCAGTAGTTTGAAAATAGTGCGCTCTTCTCCAGATCTCGAAGTACTTGTTTGAATGTCATGAGAGGTTGTGTGTGCTCACTATTTTGTAGGTCTCGAAAATAGTGATAAACAACTGTCCAATACTTCGAGATTTTCAATGGCGTTCGTGATGTAAAGACTAAAAGTTGGGAATTTTTCATTGATACTCTGACTACTATTATTTTTATTATTATTATTATTACTAATGATAATAAAAATAAAAACACGTCCAATATTGCTTATATAAGATATTTGCAGAGACTCACTGGTGGGAGTCTTTTTACTGAATCAACAAACTAATTAACTTGATATAACACAGAAGTATACTTCAATTTTAAACTACTTTTGTGGTAGACACTACTCACAAGATTGTAGGTAGTGTGTGATGAAAAGAGGAGTCGAAGTTGCAATAGTCGTCAAACAAGAAGAAAGATGCAAATGAATGATTAAATGCTGCGTATATGTATTATTTAAATACTCTGTGACTTCTCATAATAAATGTAGATTCCTTCTGCCCATTGTCGTGTTCTACACTAAATAATTCTAAAAAATTAACGAAGTTATGATGAACTCTTCCAGTTAATCATATATTCTACGCCACTAAGTCATCATAAACTTGTTTCCATATTTAACTTCAATTCACTCGAAATAATGTATCACAATCTTCCAATCCTATTAGTAGGTAATTACCTCGCAATCGATATGGTCGAACTCTATCGATAATACCTTCCTACTAGAACTCCTGGAATTACCTCCCGAAACTAGTCACTAATGAGCGTATAATTATTAGTAGTAAAGAGGTTTTGAGAAAACTGTTAAATTATATAGTTTAAGTCTGGAATTAATCTTAGTTAGATAACCAATGAAAATCAAGAAGTACTGAACAGTTGTTTCGTCTTAGCATTAGTCTCCTCAGTGTTAGTACATATCAAAAACTTTAGAAAACGATTTTAATAAGTCTGTGTCCAATTTTTCTTTACTGTTAGATCAGTGATTTCTTCTAGCTCTCTAAACTTTGATCAATGACAAGACCATAATACACGGACGATTTTTCAGCGATACTCAAATAACCTTGGGAAATTTCAACCGCTTACTGCGGTCAAAATAGAGTTATAAGATAGTGTGAAGAATAAGGGTTAGGGTTTTCATCACAAACTAATATAGTTTATCATCCCGAAATGCTAACTAGACATATGGATGAATGAGCTTCGCACCAAAATCCAGGAGTCATTGCTATATTTAATTCAACTTGGTTCGTCCATAGATTACGGTCCTGCGTTGATTAAGTAAATTTTCATCATTGATAAAGATCCCAGCAAGATATTCGCAATTACATTTTAAGTGATATATTCATGATGACGATCGCATTGGTTTTCTCTTTTTGTTGTTGTCATATAAAGCCAACACTATTATTATTATTATTATTATTATTATTATTATTATTATTATTATTATTATTATTAGTAGTAGTAGTAGTAGTAGTAGTAGTAGTAGTAGTAGTAATCAAAAGGGAGTAGTTTAAGGTCAGCGGACAAAATGTGTGCATTTATCGTGATTGCCTGAGGCTTATGTTATTATTTAGAAATATACTTCAAAACTGTTGAAATTGATATAAATTGAGATTAGTTTAAAGGAATATCATAGTTTATACTGAAATCTTAGAAAATATTTCGTCAAATAAGTTGTAAGGACTTTAGATTGACTTTTATTGAGTAGATTATATTCTTCTTGATCAAATAATCTTATTCGTAGTTAGTCTTTACAATACTTTAAAGATTCTAAGCGTATGAAGTGAATTTTAATTTGTTAAGTAATCCATTATATTTTTCACAATAAGGCAGCTAATTATAATATTTATATGGAACTAAGGTGACAATACTTATTCAATATTGAATGAATCCTGTACTTCATCGAAGCAGGTTAAATTTTACAATATGAAACATTTTGTAAGTAAAATATTCATTTTTTTAAAATGATCGGTTGATATTTATGAAAATGAGTGCACATACATGTCAACTAACAGACTTAAAACCATAGCCAGTATCACTCTTTTATAATGAAACTGATCACCAGTGAACATATGACCAGAAAGTCGTCCATTAAAGCCAATATAAGATCGTTAATGTACTCTCATGAATAGTTCTAGAATGGGACGAGAATCCAATTTGCGACAAATCTAAACCTCAATCAGTATAGTACCTTTTTACACTTCACAATGACTTATCCTATATTTATCGTACCATCTAGAGTTTATACATCGAATTAACGAATCATTTCTTTCTCGATAGAAACCCCGTACACCTATATATATTAATGACATTACAGAGTAGTTGATGAGTAGAAGAGACATGTAAGGCCAGTGAAATGCCATTGAGCCCTAACCAAGTCATCGGAAGTGGGGTCACTGAATATCGAACAGATCATCTCGCATCAGTTAATTGTTCGCCATATTTTGGCTCATGAGGAGGTGGTCACACTTTCGCCTGTACCTACTTTGACTAATGTGTTTCTGTAATTACATCTTTTGTATTGTACGGTCTTTAAAGCATCCATAGTACATTGATACGACGAAGAGGTGATTCACGTTAGATGCTGACTGTGAGGTGTGGCTTCGACGTCCTAACAATACTGAACGAGCGTAAGCTTGATTCACTTAGGAATGACAGATTCAGAATGATGTCTATTCTTCTGTAGGAGTATAGTATCGGGACCGAATTTAACGATTCTTAAAATAACCCCGACAAATTTCAGATCCAGTGTTAACCAAAACAATTTTTTATGAATAAATAGTTCATGAAAAAACATTTTACATAGTGAATCTACTAGTCTTCTACATGTTGTTCTGTCTGTTAATAAAGAACACACTAAATTATAAGCTCTTCTACATGGATACAGAATACCTATCTTCTCGAACCTAAATGTAACTTTCAACAGTTCTCACATTATACGTGATTAGAGTTTATTGATTAATGGTTAATGATAAGGAATTTTGTGGTTAGGTCTGATTTATGTTTTTACATGCACTCCAGTAGTGGATAAGTTGAACATTATCATTTTTTACCTTATGGTGCCAAAACTAGTGTTTTGTTATAATCTCAAATGTTCAAAGCACTGTTAGAAGATTTTTCGTCAAATATTCACTTTAGGGACAAGTTCTAAACAATCGCAACGAGTTTCAAACCAGTTCTTAGCTAATCAGAAAACAGCTTTTGTAAATAGATAGTTAGTGGAAAAGAAAACAATAATATTACAAAGTATAAGCTGATTTCACGCAATTAATAAATCTATTAAAGCCTTCTACTGCTTACTCTGCCTGTAAGTCGAAAAAACGACTCATAAACTCGTCCTAATGGATATAGAATATCCATCTTTTCGAACTTTAATAAAGACACAAATAGATTTCTAATAGTCCTCATACTGCTTCTAGTTAAGGTTAGGTATTTAGGGTTAGGGTTTTTGTTACATCCTCTACTTGATTATGGCTAACACGACATATAACTAACGGCAATCGGATGTATAGAACCCCTATAGTCGCAAATCAAGAGACGGAAGAGCTAGGGGAAGCTATTACTCAGTAAAAGTAAAAAAATACAGAAAAACATGGGTACTTTTGGTTATTAGTATTGTCTATAATATCATTATAACTTAACAAGTAGAAGTTTATACAGTTGTCCAACCATAGCATGTCACCTTGATATTCTAGTACGCTCTATCAGGTTCGTATTGAACGGAATCTCTTCGACTCCTTTAGAGCCTCTTGAGGCTTTGTCGTGCTTTTCATAACCGTCCCACCAGTTTTTATTCACTAATTGACATTAGAGACATTATGAATTGTCCCGTAACCATACAGTTGAGTGAATTTTGTTCAGAAATACAAGAGGGGCTATCCGATTAGTTCACTTAAAAATATAGTACCACCGTGATAAGGTTTGTTTCAGAGCTAATGGCTTAAGACTATGGTTTAGGGATAGTGTCAATTTCCCTATTATAAACTATGCAGAAAGACGGAATTTGATACGTTTAACGCTGTCGTTTTTACTCTGTGTTAGCAAAAAAAATCTTTCTTTTGTTATCTTGAAAGCTTTGAGTAGTATACAATCGTAGTTTTACTGCTCATCATACATAGTATTTGAATTTCTCACAAAAAATCAAAAGTTTTCTCCTCTATGATGATTGATTCGCCCCTATAGTGTGTATACTTTTGTCTATTTTCCTTTAGATTAACTGATATAAACTCCTTATTCTTAGTTTGACTGATAAGAAAACCTGAATTTCACAACAAATATTCATTTTCGATTGACACCGTGGATAGAGAAATGTCTGACCACCATTGGGAACTTGGGAGCACTGGATGGCCGTCTCGTCCTAGTGCGGGGCCCCTCACCAATGCACACCCACGGTCCTGCGCACTGGGATCGAACTTAGGACCTATGGTGTCGCGCGAGAACGCTTAGCCTCTAAACCACTGAGCCGGCATCCAACGGTGTTAACACCTAAATTTAATTGGCCATTATTTATAAATGACTGATTCAATCATGTTCTGAACATCAGCAAAGGGACACTACAATCATTTACAGGTTTTCAATAGTGGTCTAATATTGATCCATTTATGATATCAATCTAAACTCAACAATCTCCATAACCTTATACTGATAAATAGTTACTTATTTTTATTCGTTTTCATTAGATTATTTCAAGAAATAATAAATTCAATCAAGAAAAAGTCGATGAATACGTTGCCAGCAAATAGAACATTGAACACATTCAATGGTAATAATGCTAGACGTTCAAGTATCTCAGCAATACGTTATGCTCGATCGACATCATTGTATTTTCCTAATACAGATACAGATGAAGAAAGTCGTAGTCAATTACTTACAAGTGAATGTATTGGAGAAACACGTAGAGCTGAAACAATGAATCGATTAAATCGTATCGATGTTAAAAGTGAAGGATCTAGGAATTTAACAAATCCATTATTTGATAGTATGAGCAGTATAGACCAACCATGGTTACGTGGTTATGGTCAAACTGTTGTGTTATCTCCACCAAAAATTAATTTACCTATTCAACAACAAAATTCACACCAATCACAACAACCATCCTCCATGGAACACGATACCGCTAGTGCCATTCAAGATATGCAACATTCAATACGCTTACCTACGCCTAGAAGTCCTAATATAATGCATGGAGGTTATGGTGCCCTGCCACCTTTACATTATGGTACATCGATAAGAGATGGTTACGCAAGCAGTAGTGGAGGTGTTGGAATTGGGGCAGGAGGAATTGGCAGTGGAATTGGGAGTGGTAGGAAAAAAACCAAAAAGAAGTTATCTTGTTTATCTTGTCTACATGGAACTAATAAACTTGAATCGTCAACAAAGTATGTTATAAATTAGATTAATTGAATTTGAGTTATTCTTCGAAATATTAACGATCAGTTAATGAAATGAAGATTTTTTGTCTAACATATAAATACACGGCTGTTTCGTCTTACTCTCAAAAAATTTTGTGATTTGTAAAGGAGCTTTAGATTGTCAAGATGAATGGATAGAATACCGATTGATAGGTAATATACAATGATACAATTTGGACGAATGATAGTTCAGTTGTACACGAGACTGGATTGCTAACTTAAGCCCCTGAATGAGTTGAGATCAAAAATAAGATCATTAACCAGTAGAATAGGTTTTCTTTATTCAATAAAAATAACATAATTTTTATATAGAAATTATTAACAGTGACAATAAATATATTCAAATGTTAGAAACCATTGGAAGATATTAATTTTGTGCGTTATTCTTTAATGAAGACTCGACTGTTTGGTTTGATTCTAGTTAATCATATCAATCAGAATCGTGACATGAGAGTGTCCAAACCTGAAAAAATAAAACAATTATGAACGTATCTGTCATATTTACCAGAATTGTTCAGTTCACAGCATTCACTACTGAATAACAAGAAAAAAACAACAATTATGTGTATCTTTTATTAAAATGAATTGATTCTAACTGTTAAGATTTGTAGATAACTGAAACTTTGCACGATAGTTGATGACTAACACAGTACTGGAATATAAATTACATTGTATTATGTAAGTAATGTCAAGGGAAAAGTAGTTGTAACTCGTGGGACTTAAAACCAACCAACAGTGTTAGAACGCGAGAACGAAAGTGCGGGTCGTGAATATACACGGCTGAAGAATCCTATACTAGAACGAAGCAGCCGTCCAGTGCTTCCAGGTTTTCAATGATGACCTAACATTCGTCGATTCATGATCTCAATCGAAAACACAACTATATCCACAACCTCGTACTGATAATTTCCATGTGCTCACTAGTAACCAGCTTCGTAAGGGAATTGTCGGAGTTCTAGTGAGAAACTATGACCAATGTAGCTAATCCGTGTGAGGTAGAGACAGGTATCTACCTCAGACAATGGAAGATGGTTGCTCAATTTCATGGATTGGATGTATTACAGACTCATTAAATCTAGTCGTTTATATTCATCCATAGTTTCAGGTTAATGTACCAGAAATTTCAACTTCCTTGTATTTCAATGACTTATTCCATAAACCAGTGTGAAGGGGGGTTACTGAGATTAGCCTAATCCATTACTTTGTCGTAGATTTTGGATTAACAAAAACTCACTAAATAATACATGCTTAGATATTAGTTTAAAAATAATAGAGTTTCCATTGCTTATCATCAGATAATGTTGTCGTAGCAACAATAACACTCGAAGAAGCAAAGATCATATCTACGTTCCCATAGCTGATTTTTTTTGTACGTAAAATAAGATTTCTAAGCTCATCAATAAAATTATTTATCCTGAGGCTTCATTCAAAAGTCATCTAATTATTGTGGTTATTCAATATCTGAAGTAACTTTGTCCCCTTAAAATATACACGCATACATATATTCAGTAATGTACAAAGTTAACCGACTGATTAAATGTGCGTACATATATAGTCATGTCATTTACGTATAATTTAAATGTATCACTTCTCGGATAAACGTTCACACACACACACACAACCCGCTTCTCAGTTAATGTTCTAAATGAATTTTAGGCTTATAATGATTATGATTATTACTATTATCCAATAAAACGCACTAAGTGGGTAATTATGATTTGTAAAATTTCATAACAGATATATTAATTGATTTTTGCTTAAATCTAATTTAACCGAGTAAAACACTCACTTATAGATATAAATAAACTTATTTCCTTGAATAAATCTATAACAATCTATAAATCTACACGAGTATCAGGTCAAGAAATGAAAAGTTTTCCCAATTCCCTATTCTCTTCATCCTCTCCCCCCCCCCCACACACAGTTGTATTATTTTTACTCATTTATTTTTATCAGAAGGGGTATTGTGGGGATAGTAGTAATTTCAATAGTTGAGATCATTTGTTTTTATTTATTGTTATTCGTAAATATGTTATTAATTTGTTGTATTATTTCTCTCTTTCCATCCACTCACCCATGTATTTCCGCACACACACACACACATCATCATCATTTAGTTTCTATTCATCATCTGATGACTTAAACTTAATAGATGACCTAAATAAATCAGATGGACATGAAGTGAATAAACAAGAACAACAACAAAATCCATATATTATCTGTTTGTCGATTGTCTTCGCTTTGATGGACATTCTTTTATTGATCGGGTTAACTTTACTGATATTCTTTTTCAAGTGAGTTCAATGTTTTTTTTCCCCAAAAAGATAATATTTTACAATCTATTGAGTCTGGTTTTTTGTATTTGCTTTCCTAGATGTTAGAAATTTCTGATAGACTTTAGATTGTCATGTTTTAGACGGTAATAATGTTTTTTAAAGATATGAAATTTATGTTAATACGTCCGACTTTCTCTCCCTCCCACCATCCACTATTCAAAAGTAACCTTCTATAAACAATCAAAACTGTCATTCTAGCCGGTCAACAAAATCCCTATTATCTGACTCATAAAAGTACTTAATTTGGTTTGGCAATATCAGTTTATGTCAACATGGTTGTCAGCTATGTTTATTTCAAATAGTGAAAGTTATATGATTTGTCGAGAGATATTCATTAGTGTAAGATTTTCAACGGAAGTAGAACTCCTTAGACAACTGAAAGCTTATGAGAATGTGACTTTCTACCATTTACATAATACAAGACATTCATGGAAATCCAAATGATTTCTATATAAAATATATATGCAAAATGACTGATCACCCTTCAGCGATCAACAACTTCTCAAGCCACACAAAGGTTTGTTTCATAATAAATTGTTTATCCATAGGTCTAGACAGCCTGTTTGTAGTGGTTGTGAATCCTAAGTATTTGTTCGGAAGGCTTTTACGCAGTATCTAGATGGTTAGTGAGTCATATTCATGAGTTATTGCGTAACACTTGTGAGAAACACCCTAGCTTTCATCGTTTGACAGCTGATCAGAAGAATACACTCCATCCTTTATTGATTTCCGGAACTTCAGCTTTGACTGTTATTAATTTTGTGTATGAAAATTACAAAAAGAAAATAATCTCCCAAGACGTTTTCGATATGCGACAACCTAGAAACTTCTAGGTCAGTCTAATCTTGCTTATTATCTCTGCTTAGTCGGTGATTTCGAGACATTAGCTTCACACATCATTGACGATGCAGATCTGGATGTGACTGTATCTAATGTTGATAGTGAAGACACGGCTGAAGTGAATGTGGTGATGCAAGGGAATAATAAAATCCCTGAGCCAAGTGAAGGATCTGATGATGAAAATGTTGATAATTATGTCTGATGCTATTAGTTCCAACCGCCAAGCGTCAGAAACGGTCATGGTAAATGGGTGAGATCTTTTATACGCAGCACATTCAGTCATCTTGTTTATTCTGCAACAACCGATGAGGGTAACTTTTTATATATGAAGTGTTACGGTTATGATATGAAGTCATGTGACCTGTAAATGGATACCACACTTAATAATACTTCTCAGTGCAGATATCAACGAAGATTCATTGAGAACACAAAATGATCCTACTTATAGCCCTCTCAACAAACTAATTTAATACTTTCCGGTTTATGTTCAGCCACTCAATGTATTAACAGTAATTAGGTTACTCGATAGAAAGGATTATGTAATAACTATTTTACTAAGTGCGTATCACATATAGCATAAAAATAATCAAGTACGAATGCTGAGTAATAAGTATGAATTTCTGCAATAACGATGTTCATACAATGTACCATTTCATTTGTGATCAGTAATTTTCCTAGACAGATTGACACAGTTAAGATCAAGCAATTGATTAATATCAGTCTGTAAATACTGAAATTCTGTTAGCTATCTGTTTGACATGAATTTTGTTATGACTTATGACCCTGTCTAATATCAGCTGACAAGACCACCGATCAGAATAACGATTTTTATGACTTTGTACGTAAGCTAACTAATGACACACTAACCAGTACTAAGTAGCCTCGAGTTAACTTCGAATCTTTTTGGTCCCCAATATAGTAGTTTTTCTCCTTGCCCTGCCCGTTGCGCCTAGAATACAATAATCAGCATCCACTATATGAATACTATATATTCAAACATACATGGTTTATATACAAGCAGACCATATCTCATCACACTGTAAAATGCAGAATAAAAATTATACACGACTTAGTAAAAGATGGCTATGAGTTGTGTTGTCTAACTCATTGACTGAAAATATCAAAATATCTGATAATTATCTTGTGAAAACAATCTCAAAACAACAATGACGAATAACATTCAATTAACAATGAAGCATATTTAACACACAGGCAGTAATTAGGTAGTCAATTTAGATTTTGTTACCTAGATGAGCTCTACACTGATCTGAGTATTGTATGTTTCCAACACGAACCTTATTCACCTCACTGAGTTATCCAAATGTTCACTTATCAATTTTATTGCTGTTATCCACAGATGAAGTGATTTTAATTCACCAGTTGAAACCAAATACATGTGTATAAAAGAGACTCATTCATTCCCTTAATTTTCCATAGTTCTTATAATCCCTCTATTTTATTTTACAATTCATGTGTGCCAATTATTATCGCCATCGTAATATTCTTCTTCTTCTTCTTCGTAAATCAGACAACCGGCGTTTACACTTTTTTCTATTGGTCAACATAGTCTCATCATTGCCTAAATTATTACACAACGGCGAGACTCTAATTTATGGACGACCTTTGAACGAATCTTAAGTGACCTTGAGAAATATTAGACAAGCAGCACACAGTCCGTATGGAGTAAAAATGTGTTACATAAAACCAAGGAAATAAAGTGGATACATTTCTTATACGTGGTTCAAAAACTTGTCAAGGTTAGAAAGAGGTTCAGAGGTTCTAAAATCGTAATGCATGCAGTAGAGGAAATCATCCATACGGCTACAGAATAGTCGGCCTCTGGAGCCATGATGAATTCTCAAAAACTCTTTCAGCCTCGACCACATAGTTTCAATATTGTTTATGTGCACAAAATGCTACTTGTGGATAACGACACGATGCACATAACCGCTCAGTTATCACCATTTGTACGAAATTCCCTGTGAACCGATCGTACGTTAGCAGAAAGCAAGGAATTTGGTACCGTAACCTTGAAATCTCTAACACGCTTCTGATTGGCTCGTCCATAAATTAGAGTCTCGCCCACACAACTTCTGTCAAATACTTGGAACCGTCACAGTTACTTGATTTTAATGATGCAATACTTCTAGTGTGTTTTTAATACTTAAAAACATGTTTACTAGTTTTAATTAATTTACTCAAAACGATGTGAAACCTTTTGATAATTTTGTTTATATGATCAAACTATACAACACCATATTTTGCATAGACATTAAAGATGTTTAACAATCCATGATACATTTATTCAATGACTCAAAAGCTCTTTAGTTGATTATAGACTACGAATGATATGATCGAATACGATTGGACAGTTTAAGAAAATGACATAGTCGAATAGAACATTTACTTCAGAGAAATTTCTTAGTATTTAATTGTAGGTGAAGTACATGTCACTTATTACCCTTGTAAAAATGTTATGATTTCCACACATCCTTTCTTAAGTTAGTTGGTTTCTGGGCAAACTAATAACTATGATAATCATAATTGTATGTTTATTAAGAATGAATGTGCCAATTGTGTCAGATTTGTTTGCATGTACAAAGTATTCACTATTGAGATCTTATAATGTGCCATTTTAACATAATACGTTTCTTCAGTAAATAAACAGTTATAAATATCTTCTATTTTTTAAAATCTCATTCATACATCCTGTCATTCGGTTGACATTTAAGTTACATTTTAATTTATTCTTGACGTGATATACTAAAAATAATCACAGATAACTAAAAACACTTGATCTCTTGTCTACATGGTTGATATTAAGAATTACTACTTTTTAATTGAGGTATTTATTTCCTAGTATTATGTCTTCCGATCTTCTTTATTTATTTAGTTATGATGATCATTATTAAAATCACTAACCACCCAATGTTAGGTCACTATTGAAGACGTGGTATGGGATTCCTAGGAAGTGTGCGTCCACGACACCGCATGTGGGAAATGATCCCAGGACTTTCGCTCTTGTGCGCGAACGTTTAACTTCTAGACCAATGAGCCGTCATTCAACAATGTTAATGTCTAACCTCAATCAATCCACGACCATCTTCGATTGTTTTCGATAGGTAACTGCCTCAGACCACACACGGTTGAACTCCACTGGTTACGGGTTCGATTTTCGTATTCGGGATCGTGGTTTCTCAATGATGACGAGTCCAATGCTTACAGGTTTTCAATAGTGGTCTAATATTGTTCGGTTCATGATTCTAAAATAATTCAACATTTCCCACAACCGTATACTGATTATGACTATTATTCGAGAGTATAATAATACGGATTAATAATTCTATAAATCGTTAAAACTTTTTTTGTCTTCAATTAGCAAAATCACACCAAGTCGGTTTAAGATTTAAATATTCTAGTCATATGACAAATATAACCTTCGATATTCAGTGGGAATATTTGTAAGAATTGTATCTGAAATAACCACAGAGACAGTGTATACTGGATGTTTGTCCAAAAACCTTCAAATGTTGCTTTTGTGTAGAGTAAGATTATGAAACGAGATGGACTAGTTAAACACTATGAACACTTTAACAGTGTCTATATCTCCAATTGATTGTATGTGACATTACAACACACATTATTCACTATCATTATGTAGGTTTATTTAATTAATTGCATTATGTATACATTCATTTTGATAATAAGTAAAATAATTATGTCAACATTAAGGAGGAAGAATGTATTTGTATAATATCAGAGAATGAATTTGAAGTAAATTCAACATTTTGCCTGGCAATCTGATCCGTGCTTTTTTAAGAAATTATAATCAAACATCAACATTATCAAATATAGATCAGTACATGGTTCTCTGGTCAACTATATACTAAATAGGTCATCCATCATCATTTAGAATATATTTACCCAGAGAACCATGTACTGATCTATATTCGATAATGTTGATGTTTGATTATAATTTCTTGAAAAAGCATGAACCAGATTGCTAGGCAAAATGTTGAACTTATTTCAGATTCATTCTTTCTCCTTAATGTTTCACATCAACTCGGCTCCCAAATACTATGAAACTATTCGATCAAATTTAGACAAAAGTTCTTATA